GTGATTTAGAAGCAGATTCTTCTCATGTTCGGTCAGTATAAGTGCCTGATTCAAAGGCCTGAGCTTCATAGACTGTATACGGCACAACTGTTAGCTTAGCCAGCGGCCCTAGACGCTCAATAATGTTTTTTAAGAAAAACAAAATTAGCAGTTCAACTCTTACCTAAAATTTACGACCACTGTTCTATTAGTTATTAACTCTGACTGAAAAACCTATGATTGTCCTCAATACCGTCGTCCATTGGTATCGTCAATAGTAAATTTACTATGATTTGATATGCTTTAAAAGAAATTCTTTATATGACTTTTTCCATTTTTTTTGGAAATTCACGACAACTTTCGTCGATCGTTGAGATCCAATGAGTCCTAACGCAAGGAGGAGGAATTATATAAGTAAATGAGTCATGAACGATTAAATTCCACTCAAAGCAACAGCTTTCTGTCGCATTCCCAATATATTGGGCAAGGTTGCTGTTTTTTATTGTTGTAACTGCTGTAAAATTTTCGATTAGTCACTTCAGTTTTGCAACATTTAATATAGGAACTTTAAGTAGTTATTTGTTTCAATTATTTATAAAACTATGCGCTTATCGTGAGAAAGGTAGATAGATTGCTATTTAAATATTTTCCGATATTATTTTCCACGAATTAATTTTTTATCAGGAGAAATACCTAACTTTTATCTTTCTACATTTTCGCTATCAAGGACGCCAAAATGAGTGAATTTTCATTGCGTGCATCTTTCTTTGCTTCACTAGTTTTTGTCCTCCTTTATTGCAATCAATGGAAGCAAGTAGACGCAAAGAGAATATTAAAAAAGGTTCAGCCTCACACGATAGAGGAGGAAGGATTCGATTTCGGTCGTGACGTCGACATTGAAGGCATACTCAAAGAAATGGAAGCCATGGGCATGCGTTCAAAACATAACAAGAAAGCGTTAAAAAATCCAAACAACGGCAGCAAGACAGGAAAAAATTGGCCACCCTCATCTTCAACTCAGCAGATGCAACATAACGGTTTTTTGGAAACTCATGAAGACGTTCAGTCAATCATTCTAGAGAGGAAACAGCCGAAAGCAATTGATACGAACAATAAATCGACCTCCGACTCCTTGGATTACTCACTTGTCATCGAACAGTCAATTCCGGCAGTTGATTCCAAATGGGATCCGTCAGAAATTTTTGTACATTTAAACTCGACCCTCAACAGACAGAAGAGGTCGTTGGATGACAGTGTGGTAGACATCCTACAGCCCGTCACAGGCGGGAGGCAGGCGCGCTTCTACTACTACGAAACGAGTGAAGCCTTCAACACTTCTTTGGCATTCTTACTTCCGCTTTACTCTTTCAGTTTGCCTGGTTAGTATCGATTATAATTAATATTGCTGGTAACTTCTGCACTGCAATAATTTTAAATTACATGGCTATACTGATGTAAGATTGAAAGCTTTATAGAATGAAACGGAAGTAAATGGACGATGAAAATTTTCTAACTATGGTAATTGATTTGGCCAACCATTCATAAAATAGTAATGTATCCTAGTCCTATATTCAGTTTGCAAATGAATCATCATATACTAGTTCACTATAATCACGTGCATTTTACGGAACACAGGTGCAGGTGACTCAGCGGTAGACGACGGCATAGACGGTAACATCTTCGGCACGTTGTCGTTCGTGAGCATCACACTGCTGGCGTGGCTCGCGGTTGCCATCTACACCACGACCCTAGGGCGGGCAGGGGGAGAGGAAGGGGAGACTGTGGAGGAGAGTGCTCGGTATCTCCTGAACCCGGTCTTTCCTGGGGCTCAGGTTGTCCAATTCAAAATCAAATATCACCTGTGTTTCATCAGAAACTGTTGCAAATTTCAAGTCAACAAATAACAGACAGGAGAAGTCGAAGGATAATAGTGTGTCAGGCGTATTGCAGCCCGTCAAAGGCGAGAGACAAGCACGTTTGTTCTACAATTTCGCCAGGCGCTCCGCCTTCAACACTAGCGTTTCTTTCACCACCCCACTTTTCACCTTCTCATATCCAGGCCGGTATTAACTTGAATTAATTTTTCGGTAAATTTATCACAACAAAAATAATTTTTTAAATTTGAAGAAAACTCATATTGAAGTTGAAGGTCATTTACTGAGATTTTGTCGGAGGCTGCATAATATTTTGTAATGACACAAGAGGATAAAAAAGCATCCCCAACTATAATCGTAAAAGTCACTCATTATTAGTTTATTCCGTTAAATCTCTATATTCAGATCATTGTTTTCATCATTTATTTGGAACTGACTCATTGGTTTATTATCCGTTATTTATTGTAACGCAGGGGAGAACGTAAAAACGGACGACATAGCAGACTACGGATACTTCGGCACCTGGTCGTTCGTAAGCATTTTCCTGCTAGGCTGGCTTGCGATAGCGCTGTACTCTCACGTCAATACCTACGCCGGGGACACTGGTAGCGCTGGTCGTCTCATCAACCCCCTTAAGGTAAAGTCACCTAGAATTTACAAGTGCTCGATCAAATTAATTCGTATACGATGCTTAAATAGATTTTTTCATTTAAATAAGAACCCCCTTAAGGCAGAGCTCCTAGAATTTACAAGTGCTTCATCAAATCAATTCGTATATGATGCTTAAATAGATTTTTTTTCATTTAAATAAAAACCCCCTTACGGTAGAGTAACCTAGAATTTACAAGTGCTCGATCAAATCAATTCGTATACGATGCTTAAATAGATTTTTTTCATTTAAATAAAAACCCCCTTAAGGTAGAGTAGCCTAGAATAGACAAGTGCTCGATCAAATCAATTAGCATACGATGCTTGAATATATTTTTCACTTAAACAAATTTTTAAATAAATATATATTTCATGCCTCGCACTTCAGATGTGCTCTGATAATACATTATAAGTAATGTTGGCATATAATACAAGGGTTAGTCCTCCCCGAAAATGGACCTGTAAGGTCAAATTAAGGACTGTCGATTAAATGGAAATGAAAAATACATTATGCATAGTCATAATTTTATAATTGGCGACCGCAAAGAAAATTTTGAATTATAAACTCTCACCTGTCCTGGTATTTCAGTAAAATATTGTAACCTATGTCGGTGTAGCACTATTAAAAATTCAAGGCCTTCAGCGCCTTTATAAGAGTGATGGCTCTGTCATTCATGAAGTTCATATCCTGGAATTGCTTGGTGACATAAATTCCTACGACTTTTGTATAAATTTCGCGTTTCTTACAAATTTAAGTTCCACCGGTATTTGGGAGGTATTTTTCAGCTAGAATGCTTATTCGCAGATGAAAAGAGTCGTCGTCAATTATTAATAGAACTCGCAAATGGATTTATTGGATGATACTTAATTGAGCCAGTGAAGTTTTAAAAAAATGTGCTTATGAAAAAATGCAATAAAAAAGTGGGTGATTAATTGTTTTTTAGTTCTTGCATCAGTAGTTTCAGGTTTTTTTATTATTTTATTATATGTCAGTAGTTGCAGGTCCTTTTTATTTTATTTTAGTAGTTTCAGGTTTTTATTGAGAGTTTTACTGTCTAAGATTACACTTCCATGTACTAATAGAGGTACTATCTATTTAATTTAAACACACAATTTTCCAATAATACTCAAATATTTCCTTGGATTACGGATGACCCATTGTATCAGTGCATTTATTTGATGAATATTTCATACTCACAGCACCCAGGCGACCTCAGCGTTCTGTCAGGGGCTGTACACGGGGCGCTGGAGGAGCTCGCCGACGCGCTGGAGGTGAAGTCTTGTACACACCTCGCCACATGCGAGGCCTACACCGACCTGCATGCAAACAGCCTGCTCAGCCTGCCCTTCAGGGCCTACACACCGTGAGTTATGAGTTACATTGTACACACCTTGCCACATGCGAGGCCCACACCGACCTGAGTCAGAAATGTTACATGTCACCATTGCTTTTTTGATTAATTAATTTACCTCTTAGAGATTCATAACGAAAATCATGAATGACATTCGTCAACGTTTTTGTTGACTGATTAGCCTGCTCTTAAGTGTATGCTCCTCGTGAGTCGGTGGAGTCTGCATTTAATATGTAAAATTAAATTTGTTGAGCTGCCTTTCAAATATATTTGGTGCTAAAATTACCTGTTCAAAAACATATTGCGTCTGGGCTTTTGAACACACTCATCTTTCACAAAATAACGATTCCCATGCTTTGTCCACTGCTCAAAGTATAGCTACTGTTTACTAAGTTAGGCCATGCCTATGAGTACAGTTCGATTTTTTTAGGTAATTATCTTAAAGATAAATCTATGTATGTGGGAGCTGAAAGCTCTAATCTGCTGTGATGGATGGGCTTGCCTTGTAAGTCGCAGCTAAAATCAACAAAATACCTGGAGAAATTAGAGTAGTTTGTTAGACGCTTTACGTACATACCCATTATTTCCTTTTGTATTCAAACACCTGCATGGGTGGGCAACTACACCCATGTACCCTATTTATAACTTTTCATGTACATTGTATCATTTTCTTTACTCAACTACACCATTCTTTTTTTTTCAAGTTATATATATACAGGGTAATTCACGGCAAATTCCTGATTTGAAAGCTCAATAGGAAAAGAACTAGTAAAGATATCCTTAAAAAATGAATTTTATTGGAAAAGATATCACCTGGATTTTTGTATCAATTAATTTTTAAGAAAACAAATGATGGCCCCCATTGCCAATGAATTCAGCTAGTTGATTTTTGAAGTTCACCTCGACAGCAAAGTACAGTTCGACAGCAAACGCTCGCTGCTCACTTGTCCAATGCATAAGGGCAACTTATTAGGCGGGACACAAGGCTTCATTACCTTGTCTTTCATTTGAAACAGTCCTCGCTTTTTTCCTACAATATCTAGCTGCCTGGCGTGAAATACAAAACACACCTTGTACAATTATTCTTCTCTCCCATACCGCAATTTTCCCACTTCTTCATTTTATTTTCGAATTAGCTTTCCTGCATTTTAGCAAACAAATAGTTTTTTAAAGAACATCTTTTTAATCCCTATTGTTCTTATATTGTTTGTTGTTCAGCTTCATCTGAAACTGGTTGCAGGACTCACACGCTGTCCACGTACAATCCTTCATCTGTGTTGCATCATGACCCTTACAAATTTTCTTGCAAGTTTCTAGACCTGCAATTTTAGTGTTTTTGTTTCAATGCAATATAATAATTGACAAATTATTTTTAAGCCTTTCTAGGACTCATATACATTGGGCTGAGTATGTTCGGCTAGTTTGCCTGAAGTCGTATACGTGGCACGAAGCTACCAAGTATTTAGTCTTTCATAAAAATGTAATTAATGACCTCAAGTGATCACGTGAACTGATTTTGAAAGAAGTGATATCGCCCATGTTTTTGCTATAATTGGAAGGAACATATAATTATGCACAGATGATAATAATTGCTCACTTGTCGAAAAAGAGCCTCTTCATTCTCAAAATTTAGAAAGGTTGTTTTACGATCCATTTCAGTGATCGAGTTGATAGTGATCTATGTTTGATGACATTGTACAATGTCATATTATTAATTAGCTATCATATCCATTTTAGAACAATAAATTTTTCCTCAAAATTTTCTTCAGTACCAAACTGCATATTTTCCAGATTACGGGACAACGTAACTGACGAGAGTGTGCTGACGTCACTCGAGGTCGCCGCACGTCGCTCGTCAGGATCAGGATCATGTCGCAGGGAATATCCTTGCATCGTTGATCCCTTCGAGCTGATGAACCTCGTCATTGACTGGGTAGCTGGGAAATTTTCTCTCTGTCGAGGGTGAAACTTATATCATATACATTATATTATTATATAATATACATACATTGATTATATACCTTACATTATATTTTCTTAACCGCAAATCCGGTTAAGAAAATGTGCCATGGCATCCGTTTAAGCAAGAATAGATTGTTTAGCACAATAAGGTTGAAATTTATCCTTGATCTTACCATGAAAATGATTCATTGGTTTGTAATGAAGAAGTAAAATTTTTGCTCTTACAATTATGGACTGTCTATACTGAAAAAATAGAGAAAAAATGATTTACTTGAAAATTAATTATAGTGAAAACCGGAGATGCTAAAATTTATTCAAGAAAAAATATTCATTCTATAAATATTTATTATAATTTTTAATAATTTCTTACAATAGAAGCTTTTAATATTTTCATGGACTATTCGAATTATTGTGGAAGGCAATCTTGAATTTCTTATATACCAGAATATATTTTAAATTATGTTTTAGAAATTTCACAATATCTAGTCAGGTCCATGAGAGGGCATCAAGCATTTAATCTTGTCGTACAGTTATTTAATATGAAAGTTTCGTATGACAGTTTAATGACAGTTTATTAAAGTTAATTCTTTATTTAGTTTAAAAATCAAATGGTGCGCGTATCCGAGTATTTTGATGGCATTATTTAGGTTACCGAAGCTCTGCTGTATAGATTACCTTACTCTTTGTATTATAATGCAGCTTAAGAGAATTTTTATGCGAATTTCAGACTGCAATCAACCGGTTTTATTATTCTCTACCATACCGATGATAATTGTAAGATATTTGATTTGTTGAGAATCAATACTCATGAGAATTTCCTTTTATATTCAACTGTAAACTTGAGAAGTGATGTTTAATCATAATTAATTAAAATTATAGTGATTATGACACATTTATGTATGACCTTGTGCCGAATTGTAATCTACGAGTGCCCATAGAGTCGGTGATTGTTTTGTTCGATATCTTCAATACCGTTATTTGAAAAATTAAAACCATTATTAAAAATTTTTTTTTCCCATACGAATTCTCTTCATTAAAATCTCATGCGAATCGAACATTTGTTTTCGAAGGTTCACATTATTCTTCATAATGAACACTGCATTAGATATTTACTTAATACTCCGTGGTCGAAAATAGTTTACGAATATGCCAGTCTTGCATAACATCCTTCTATTCATCATGAAGGTGATTCGCATTATCTTAGTTCGAGAGTCCTATCCGGAACGTAATACTTATAGATTTTATATTTGAACAGTTAGGGCATTTTTGACGTCCCTTTACTCAGGTGTGTGGGCCTATAATCAATGTTATCTTTTATTTCTTACATAAATTGTATGATACGCAAGATCAAACGAACTCTAACATTGTTTAATATCAGTTATATTTTACCCCAGTAGAGGAGAGGTATATACATACAAATTTAAATTGTTAATAGACCTGATTAACAATTTATAACTAAAAAAGTCACTAGATTGCTTTAATCGCAGATTCACTAGAAATTTAAAAGCGAAGAAAACACCACAAAAATTTAGCATATCTCTTTTGAAAACGTTTCGGAGACCAGCTCCATCGTCAGTTCGATAAATCTAAAACACAGATAAATGCAGAAAATTAGTTTGGAGTTAATAAAAAAACACAGAAGTTAAAAACCTAAATTTACAGACAAAGGGCAGAATAATAAAATAAGTACCTATCTATTCACAATTTCTAATGGGTAAGAACTATAGGCAGCATTTAAACTAGGCTTCTCTTTAAAAATATACAATGATTCCAAAATATCTCCTCATTCGGCTGTGCGCACTCACGCCGAACAGTGCAACGTTCCAGTGTCCGACACAGACTTTAAGGTTTTAGCTTATAGTTCTGGTGCTTCCGATTTGCGTATTTTGGAATCATAGTATATTTTTAAAGAGAAGCCTAGTTTAAATGCTGCCTATAGTTCTTATCCATTAGAAATTGTGAATAGATAGGTACTTACTTTATTATTCTGCCCTTTGTCTGTAAATTTAGGTTTTTAACTTCTGTGTTTTTTTTATTAACTCCAAACAAATTTTCTGCATTTATCTGTGTTCTAAATTTATCGAACTGACGATGGAGCTGGTCTCCGAAACGTTTTCAAAAGAGATACGCTAAATTTTTGTGGTGTTTTCTTCGTTTTTAAATTTCTAGACAATTTATAATGTATATTTTATCTACGTACTAATCTGGTGAACATATTCATTTATTCAAATTAATCTGTTGAACAATGATCAAGTACAACCATTGGAATCCGGGTAATGCATAATTTGGAGTTATTTCTGAAGGTTTAATTGTGAATTATGAACTTCATGTTATAGCGTTCATCTAGTTGCTTCCAAAAGAGTTTCTAAATAACGTTACTAAAATTATTCGTGCGAACGTTAGGTCATACCGTTATTAAAATTTATCAATATAAACGTTTCGATCTAACGTTACTGGTTGTTTCCATGAACGTTGCGTAAAGACGTTAATGAATTCATTTCCATTAACGTCATGTTATAATGTTCATAATATCTTTTCGAAAGTTATTTTTGACTGCCATTAACGAACTTTCTTATCATAGTAATCATACTAGTACCAACTAAACTACACGAGGTACGGAGGATAGCATGCGTCTTATGTATAACGTTATCACACATGAAATTCATCTCTCTCAAGTGCATGAAACAAATAAAAAGAGGATGTCAATATATACTTCAGCAAAATAGCATATTCTGACTTCAGAAGAAAGAACTCTAAGCCCAGTGTGGCCCATAAGTTGAAAAAAATTCTGTGCTGAGAGGTTGTTCTCTCGTAACTCGTGTAATGTTCGCTAAGCAGATATCTTAGAATATGACCAATGCATTACTGAGGTGAATACGTAGCAGAATATCGTCTGGTAGACTATGAGAGAACATTAGGAGTTTTAGTGTTGTTCTACATATTCGTATGTGATCTGTAGAGGATAGATAACCTATCTAAGAAAAATATTGTATAATTGATTTATATAAGAAAAATATTTATAGGTGATCTACATGGGAAAGCTAATTTATTCATGATATACCCAGAAAAAATCCGAAGGAAATTGTCATGGATATTTCATGGAATGGTACGTGCTTATATTGTAACTTTGACATATAAATGATTTTTATTTTGAATGTCAGTCGTAGTTAGATAATTCAGAATTTATATGGCTAAAAATTAATGGGTTGTGCAAATCACGTTTTTAAATATTATCATATTTTATCTACAGTAAGAATTGTTTCGATCTAAGTTGCAAAATTGCATGATAATAAATAATTTTAAATTGAACCGTTTTTTGTTTTGTAAATCATTAATGCATACCTCATTTAACGAATTTGAAGTTAATTAGTTTCTTCATTTAATAAGCACATTTTTTGAGTCAGAAACGAAATAATTAAAAAGATATTGCAGAGGTACATTCTCAATCACTTTTTATTTTGAAATAATTTAAATCGTTTTCTAGAGAGGACTTGCCACCAATAGATGTTCGAGGAATGAGGCTCTGCTCTCAACAGTAAAGTAATTTCCAGTGCCATTATTGACGAAATACCAACTCCATAATCACTATGTAAAGTCCTTAAAATGTAAGTAAGCAGCAGAATTAGCGCAATATAATTCAATCGTTAATCTTATTTTCATGAGAAGTTTGGGTCTAATTTATTAAGGAGCGTCATATGAATTAACTAGACTAATCTGAGCGCTCAAAGCAGTGAAACTAAGTTCTCAGCAGCATACGTATATGAAATATTTAAATATCACTGATAAACTCTAATATAACAGAACATTAAGGCAGGAACTGTAGGCACCAGCCATCATTATTCGACACCAATGGTCACGTAAAATGTGATGTCATTTCCTATACGTGACCTCAAGGCAGGTTCGTTGGCACGGACATAACGGAATTCAGTCTCTGCACAGAGACACTGCAGCGCGACGAACTGTACTGGTCCGGCAGTCTCTCCTCAGCGTCGGTCCTGAACTACCGAAATTTCAGTTTATCCCATGTGTAAGCGA